GGCCTGAGATTATGAGACCTTTAGGGGTCGATTTGAGGGGTCAAACGGACTCCGATTTTTGTGTTCTTTATATGTAAGGAATCGGGAGAAGATAAAGAACACTTTTCTGTAAAAATTTCTGAGTTTCGAGAAGTGGGCTCGGGGCTCGGGTTTTGTCAATTTCGGGATTATTGATGTTTTTCGATTATTTTCGATTGGGTATTGATCCTATAGAATAATGTGACGTATTCGTTGTGGTTTTGGTCAGATTCGACGCGCGAGGAGGTCGATTTGAGAGGCAAGGACATAGCGAGCTAGGATTTTGGCCGGCTTGAGGTTAGTAATAGATGTAAATGCTGTGTTGAAGGTTTGAAACCCCGAATTTGCACATTGTAGTGCTATGTTGAGGTGACTTGCACGCCGGATAACGGGTGTGGGGTAGAGCACCATCGGGGATCGTGACTTGGTCCGTCCAACTTAATAAAATTACTGCCTAATTGATTGAAGTTTAGTGAGATCCTTATAAAAATGGATTAATTGTCATAATTTGGCCTCGTGCCAACTGATTGAATCCTTCAGGGATTGTTTTTACTGGTTTCTTACCATATTTTTAGACAATTGAACTCAGTCCTAGTATTTAGTACTGTTTTGCAAACTCAGTCACTTTTTCTCAAAACTTGGAACTTAAATAATATTTCTAATGAAGTTTGGGCTGAATATTTCTATATTATTGTGCCCGAGGGGCTTATATGATTCTGGACTGAGTATGGGATCGGGCTGCGCGCCGCAGCAGTATTATATTGATATTGATATGAGGCTTAGGGCCTAATGGATGCCACGAGATGGCTTGATATTGCGCTTGGGCCGTAAGGGCCCCTCCCAGAGTCCGCACACCCCTAGTGAGCGTCGTCGACGATAAATAAATGGAGCGGGCTATACGCCGCAGCGGGTACTAGAGAGTACCGTACTATTTGTTGCATTTCTTAATTGATTGTCATTCATTTACTTATCTGTTGCAGCATCATTGTTTTCATTGGTTTATTGAGTTGATATTATCTAGATTAAACTGCTGTAATTATAGCTTACATTGTGCCTATCCAGGATTTCTTACTCTCAACCCTTATTTATGTTTATTACTCTCCGGGTTGGAAGTACTCACATTACTCCCTGCACCTTGTGTGCAGATCTAGGTGCAACCACTGAGGCTGAGTGAGGATTTCTCTGCCGAGCATTATATCTGGGAACATCAAGGTAGTTGCATGGCGTCCGCAGTCCTGATCTTCCCATCTAACCTATTTGCTTTATTTCCGCATTTCTTTAGAGCAATATGTAGTAGGTTGACACCCGTGTATTATAGGCTCAGACTTGTGACACCGGATTCTTCGGGCTGTGTAGTAGTAGTATTTCTACTTGGGTTTTCCGCATGTTTTAACTATATTTCAGAGTTTCAGTATTAAAACTTAGTAATTATTTGTGTTAATTGAATCATGAACTGCATAAAAAGGGTTAAGCTTGTTAAATTGGTCGGGCTTGCCTAGCAGTGTGTTGGGCGCCATCACGACCGGGGTTGGGGTCGTGACAGTATCGAAAGGATAAGTTTATTGTACCCGGTATGAATCATCTTCTACCGGGGTAATGTTTATCCATAACCGAGTACCGAAGAGATAAGCTTCTTCAGGAGACTTATTTCCAATAGAGTACTAAATAGATAAACATATTTACGGTGGAGTCCCATATGGATAAGCTTCTTCAGGAAGCTTATTTACAACGGAGTACTAAATGAACATCCATAATATAATATATTTATAACACTCACCCTTGGATGTTCATAAAAAGATAATGTGCCTCATTAAAACCTTACTAGGAAAAATCCCCTGGGAAAAAATTCTAGTGAAGGAAAAAGAGTACACATATTTAGTAATACGCATTGCTAGGTGCCTCATTAAAAACCTTATAAGGAAAACCCTATAGGAAAAAACCTTAGTAAGGAAAAAAGAGTGCATCGCGTATTTTACTCCCCCTGTTAAAAACCTTGTTCCAAATATTTGAGTCTCCGCATTCTAATCTTGTATCTGCATAACCAATACGATCTGCACCACCTTTGTTAGCATTAGCAAGATACATATAGCAATTGCACTGATATAGCGTATTTTAGGACCAATGAGTTCCTCATCCTCTTCTGGAGGTCGGAACAGATCTTTATTCACTTCAAGTGATCGAACACCCATTGGTGTACTTAATGGGTGCGCTTTGTCCATGTAAAAGCGTTTAAAGACCCTTTCTGTATAGGCAAATTGATGGATAAAGATCTCGTCTGCTAAATATTCAATTTGCAGACCAAGAAAATTTTTTATTTTTCCAAGATCTTTCATCCCAAATTCTTTCTTAAGATATTCAATTGCCTTTTGGAGCTCTTCTGGAGTTCTAACAAGATTTATGTCATCAACATAAACAAAAAGTGTAACAAATTCTGATGATAATTTCTTTATAAAAATACATGGACAAATAACATCATTTATGTAACTTTCTTTCAGCAAATATTCACTGAGGCGATTATATCACATGCGCCCAGATTGATTTAAATCGTACAAAGATCTTTATAATTTGATCGAGTACATTTATCAAGACTTTGAATTATTTGCATTTATCAAGACTTTGAATTATGTGCTTCAAGTATTTTAAATCCTTCAGGGATCTTCATATAGATTTAATCAAATGAGTCATATAGGTTATGACTTGCATTTAAATGGCATGACATCATGTGTCTGGACGATTGCACTACAGGTCCGATCCTCACAATCTTTTACAATATTGTGCACTATATTGTATCAAATATATCGTCGACGATCATTTTGTATCGGTTCCTAAGCGACATAACTTGTTGAGATCTCATCACTTTCTTTATTTTCAGGCACCTGAACTTCTTCTGGAGTTTCGTGAAATGTTATGTCGTGGGCTCTTCTAGAGCTCATTTCCTCCTCATTATGATCATTTTAATCATTAGCTCCTTATCATTTTTCAAGGATTGTTACCTTTGGAACCGATTGGTCTACCACGCTTCATGCGTACAGTAAACTCTATCCTTCAGGGACTTTAAATTTTAATAGGAGCATTTGCAGCTAAAATATGATATTTGATTTTGGATCAGCAAATGCTTCTGGCATTTGACTTGAATAATCTTCTAAAGTGAGGATCATATTAATGATAATTCGATTCATATAGCATATTTTTCAGTTGTTTATTCTATCCCCCATATGTTAGAAAAACTAACATATATCCCTAATCTTCTTTGGGAAACATATCTTTGTGCATTGTGGTAGAGAAATTAATCATATACCACATATCAAAAGATAGTAAAATATTTGGTTTCTGATCCTAAACCAATTGTGAGGGGAGGACTTATCATATATTGTTGGTCTGATGCATACAAGTGTTGCTATATGCAATTTAGAAAATCTTAGACCAACACATGAAGCTTTGTTCTCATAAACAATAGTTTAGCCATTAATAGGAGGTATTCACTGCTAAACTAGCTTGTATATAAACCAGCATTATCAAGATGAACTGTCTTGATTTCATAATCTGAAAATTATGCTCTTAAGTGAGAAAAGCAATTTCAAATGCCAAACTGCAGGTTGACAATAAACATACATGTAACCATCTTATATATGCATCTATAAGTGGTTCACATGATAGGTGAATGGGCTCATATTCACCTTTTATATATTTCAGAATCAGGGGTCTTATTCCCAACTTTAGCTGGTATAATCAATTTATTATGAGAACAAGCAACACAGGAGAATTCTTGAAGAATCTTCTAGTTCTTCAGTATATGCTTATCTGAATTCTCAAATAGCTCATTTAAAAATGGCAAATGAAAACTTCAAGTTTATCATGGCATGTGCTATCTCTTAGTAAACTTCTGGTTTACTATGACATAAACTTTTGCATTAGTAAACTTCTGATTTACTGTGGCTACTTTTGTATTAGTAAACTTCTGGTTTACCGTGATACATGATGTGGTACAAATTGAAGAATAAGGCGGGTAACTTCTCATATACATATTATTTTACCCCCTATGATTGTGGAAACATGAAGATTTTCAATCTTCCAATCATTTATAGTCTCAATATGATAGCCATTCATTTTAGTAAACTTCGGGTTTACTACAACATATGTTTTGACCATAATCATATAATATGAATGACATATTTGTATATAAGCTCTTCGAGAGCCTTCATTTATTATCCACAATCTAATATTTATCGGACACTACTGGTGTCATGTGTCTTCTAGGCAAACAGTTAGCTCTTCAGGAGTTGTTGATACATTTTGTACTATCAAATATTGCTCAGACACTTCTGATATCATAAGAGAAAATCACAATCAAATAAATAATATAAAACAATTGTTTAAGCACAAGAAAACTCCTCTTCATAATATTTTCCTACTTCAGGAGGCAATTTCAATTGTGTTACTTCTTCAGGAGCAAATTTAAAATACGAAATATTGAGTATATATTCTCTCAATTATACTACCTCTTCTGGAGGTTAATTGTGATATATTTACATCAAGAGCGTGTTCATATTTACGAGATTTATTAATATTTATCACATTCACTTCAGGGAATGGATTAATATTATCAAAAGTTCTCATCCTTCAGGAAATCGAACATAATTATCTAAATGCGCATTAATCACATCAAATTGTGATGCTTCAACCTCTTGTAAAATATTTACTACTTCAGGAGCAAATCGAGGCGTGCATTTAATATAGAGAATATTTATGTAGCTTATCTTCAATTGTGACCATAGAAAGCCTAAATTATCACTTCTGGTGATCATAGTCATATACCACTTCTGGTGGTTAACTTAGTTACAATGAGATATACGAAATATAACCACTTCTGGTGGTTGTATATTTCTTGCAAACTCTGCTGGAGTTTAAGTTGATCTACTAATGTTATCCATATTTTTCAAAATGACATAAATAAAATATATATAGTAAACATCATTATCAAAGCATAACTTTTATTGTTAACCATACTATCTATTACAAACAATAAAAATTAAAATATATACATTTCTACAGATTCACCACCGATCACATGACTTGTTTCTCCTTCTGGGAGTGCAAAGTAATCAGCTACATCCAAATGCATGAAGTCTAAATTATCTCCAGAAATAAAATTTGCTTCAGCATTTTTCTCTGTCTTCTTTAAGGAGGCTTGATAAAGCTCAACCAGGTGCTTTGGCGTACGACAAGTACGTGACCAGTGCCCTTTTCCTCCACATCTATAGCATGCATTTTCTGCATTTGGAGCTTGCACCTTTTCATGCTTTTGTTCCTTCCTTTTCCACTGCTGGTGGAGGGTTCTTTGGTGCATTATTATTACCATGATTAAAGTTTCTTCCCCGACCACGGTCATGACCACGACTGGGGCCACGACCTCTTCCGCGCTTAGCTTGGTGGAAGTTCGTCTCATTCACTTCAGGGAATGGACAAGAACCAGTAGGTCGACTTTCATGGTTTTTCATTAATAGCTCAATATGTTGTTCGGCTACAAGAAGATGTGAGATAAGTTCAGAATACTTTTTGAATCCCATCTCTCGATATTGCTGCTGCAGGAGCATATTCGAGGCATGAAAAGTGGTAAAAGTTTTCTCCAACATATCATGATCAGTAATATTATCACCACATAATTCCAATTGAGAAATAATTCTGAACATAACAGAATTATACTCACTGATAGATTTAAAATCTTGTAGCCTTAGATGAGTCCAATCATAACGTATCTGTGGAAGAACGACCATCTTCAGGTGGTCATATCTATCTTTCAAATTATTCCACAGTATGACTGGATCTTTAACAGTAAGATATTCCATTTTCAGGCCCTCATCAAGGTGATGGCGTAGGAATATCATTGCTTTGGCACGGTCTTGGTTTGATGCTTGATTTTTGTCCTTGATGGTGTCTGCCAGATCCATCGCATCAAGATGAATTTCAGTATCAAGCACCCAATACATGTAGCTTTTGCCTGATATATCCAGGGCTACAAATTCAAGTTTAGAGAGATTTGACATTATTTAGAAAAAGAAAGTTCGTACCTCTGATACTTTCAAAGTATTTGCTCGAGATGGCAGTGTCTCGTGCTGATAACGTGTTATAAAATAACGACTGTAAAGTAAATAAACTAAAGACAAGTAGAGAGAAAGAGAGATTTGTAATTCAACTTCAAACTTATGTACATAATAAACTGAAATCTCCTCTATTTATAGAAGAAAGCAAGCTGCTGTGTAAGCTGCTACTGCAAGCTGCTGTGTAAGTTGCTACTGTACCAGATATAGATAATCTTCAACTGGAGGTAATGTTTATCCATAGCGGAGTATCGAAAGGATAAGTTTATTGTACCCGGTATGGATAATCTTCTATCGGGGGTAATGTTTATCCATAACGGAGTATCGAAATGATAAGCTTATTGTACCCGGTATGGATAATCTTCTACCGGGATAATGTTTATCCATAACAGAGTATCGAAAGGATAAGTTTATTGTACCCGGTATGGATAATCTTCTACCGGGGGTAATGTTTATCCATAACCGAGTACCGAAGAGATAAACTTCTTCAGGAGACTTATTTCCAATGGATAAGCTTCTTCAGGAAGCTTATTTACAACGGAGTACTAAATAAACATCCATAATATAATATATTTATAACAACAGCTTTTTTTACAGCGCCTAAGGACACAGCTGTCTAATACTAAACAACTCAAATAGGAAATTGCCACGTAGCCCATAACATCTACTAACAACTAATGGGCACTTAAACAACAAAATTAAAACGATGACTCAAACTTAACACAAAAAGAGCAATTTATGATCAAACCAGGACTCCGTCGTTACGGTTACATGCTGGAATTATGGAATTTTTATTCTATGCTTAAATAGGAATTGAGATAGCTATGAGCTTGATTCAAATTATTGGCAATACATGATTCAAGATTGTTAAAGAAGACAAACAGTTTGCTTGCGGGAGGATACATGTCCTCACATATTGTAATTAGATCATGGTCATGTGTATGTATCCCATATCAATTAATACAATTTCTTTAAAATAACAAAAAAAATTTTAAACATATTTGTAAGATGTAAAACAAGATCTAAAGGAAGTTTTTATAGTATATTCTCAAAACATTAGTATTAGTTATAAAATAAATAAACAAGTGTAAAATATTAAGTTTCATCGCTTATTCTTATTTCTTAAGACCTAATGAATATACCTATTGAGTAGAGATATGTGCGTTTTCCTATTTCTTTTTCTTTTTTATTCTCACTACTCTCCCCATCACCTAATTGTGTGATCTCGTACAGAAAATGAAAAGTCATAATAGAGTCAGAATTCTTAGGATTAAAAAGGTTTAAAAATAGATACGCCTAATGATGAAGCCAACTGAAAAATCACATAGAAGACCATGAAATAACTTTGAGATAAAAAATGACCTGCAAAAGTTACTGTGATAAAGAGGCAACACTGATTTAGCTAGCAAGTTTGAGATGTAAAACAAACTAAATGCACAAATTTGACCGAAGAATTTTAGAAAATAGAAAAAAGAGAAAAATTCAGAACATATATGAAAAAAAAAACATATAGAAAATTGCCTGACAAAGAATGAGAAAGATTTATAGCATGTTTGGTCATGTTACTTTCGGCCAAAGTGCTTTTTATAAAGTTAAAGTATTTGGTCAAGATTTTAAAAGGAAAAAAAATATTTTTTCCCAAACATAGACATTAATTATGAATGAAGAAGAATGATTGAGAGGGAGATGAGATTTCCGTTGAGACTTCTACACTATTTATGGATGAATATATGGATGAAAGTTAGGAGGCTTGTATATATATAGTAGTAACTTTTCACATGCATCTATCACTCTCACCAAACTACTTCACTTCTTGTGGTTAGGCAAATCACATAGCTAATATTCCCCCCCCCCCCCCAACCCAAACCCCCAAGTCAAGATATTATTGTGTTTGTCATATTATGAAACATGGGTGATTCACCAAGGCAGGATCAAGAAATAAGTAGGGTGACTATGTCACGACCCGGAATTCCCACCTTCGAGATCGTGATGGCTCCTAACATTTTACTTGCTAGGCAAGCCAACGCTAGATAATTTTTAAGCCAATTTCCATTCAATTTCAATTAATAAAGTCAATTAAGCCAAAATGAACTAGAACTAAGTACGTGTTTAACCAGAAAACAGGAATTTCGATCAAAGCTTAATTTTAGAAGAACCCGGGTTACTGATAATCAAATAAGGAGATAATTATGTAATGAAAAAGAAGAGTTGAATTGAAAAGTAGCCGAGTAAGCGAAATAAAGCAAAGTAAATCACTATATTCCAATAATAATATGTGTCCCATACAAATGTTATTTCTCTCCTTTTATTTTCTCAGTACTACGTTTCTTTCCTCTCATAATAGAACCATTATGAGCAATTAATGACATTAATGTAACGCTATAATTGACAATCGTAACTGTTTCGTGAAGATTCTATAACGTTCCCCATCATTGATGCTCATTAATTACATATAATATGTATATGTACTTTTTGCTAGCTAGGTTCATTCCTCCGAGTCTCTTCAAATTATCAAGAGATCTGAGTGACCTTTCCTTCTTGTTTTCTTCTACCTTTGCCCGTACCTATTAAAGCTCGCGCTCTTTGAATACTCTTTGCTAGCAGTCACTCTTTTATTGATCCACGTGTCTTGACATGTCAGCACATAATTAATTCCACATTTTAACTCGATTTTCCCCAATACAGATTGTCCCCCCATTTGCCATTTATTCAGCAATTGAATATTTGGAAAGTGGATCTCATTAAAGCAGAAATTTTTGCCGCCATTCCACATATCATTACACCTTCTCCAGATCTGACGCTTCGCATGTCACTTCCATTTAATGCATGTGACACGTGGCGGCTTTTGATTGGTTCTGCAACCCTTCAGCGTCTTTTATGGCTTTTTTAACGGCTACATCAATCACGAAGTGACAGTTTTAATTATGACGTTCCCATCATTACCTTTTTGTTTTAACAGTTGCTTCTGAGTATAAATATATCCTTTGTCTCTTCTTTCATAGAAAAGTTTCCATCTTTGAATATTCAATATTCTTTTCTTCTTTGTATAACTATGTCTTCTTCAAACCCTGATCCTCAAAAAGTTTTTATTGTAGATGACCTTCCCCTTGCTCCTACTAGGAGCAGGAGAGGGGGTAGGCTACGTAGTTTAGGGTCAGTTTCCATTCGAGGTTCTTCTTCTTCTCTACCTAGTTCCACTTCTCTTTCATCTTCTAGAACTAGGGCTTCTCTTCCTCATAGATCTTCTGCCAGAAGTAGGGATTCCAATGAACCAGTCCGTGAACCTACAGTAGAAAAAATTATCCCTTCTGAACTTTCTTTTTATACTGATAGAGAATCAATTAGAAACCAGGTTTCTTCTATATCCTCTCATGATCGTGCCGATGTTTACCCTTCAAAGATTACTGAAGGTTTGATCTCTGTTGTCCGTAGAGATTGTCAATGGAGGTTTCATTTCCCAATTCTGATCCGTAATGCAAAAAGGATCACTTCCTTCAAGGCTGACTTTTCTTTTGTGTATACGTACCCCTTTACATTGGACTCAGTTATTATTGAATTCTGTCGCTTTTTCAATGTGTGTTTAGGAAAAATTGGCCCTATTGTATGGAGGGTTGTTGCATGTTTAAGATACTTGACTAATTTGGCTCAACTGCCTTTCACCTTTTTTCATCTAATCCACCTCTACTCCCCTAAGTTGTTCCGTCATGGGATCTTTACTTTGGTGGCGAGGAGTAAGAGGGTTTTAGTCAGCCTTGAGGATGATAAAGATCGTGGATGGTGCGCCCGATTTGTTGATGCTCCTACGGTAGGGTTAGTGGGTGAAAAAAATATGCCATTCCCTGAAAAGTAGAATTTTGCACGTAAGTTTTCTTTACAACTTTCTCCCTTCTCTTTTTTTTTATAAAAGAGTTTGTACTTCCGGTGACTGTTTTGCTTTTCTTCTTTTAGCAACCATGGGAACTGTTGAAGAGATTTCCAATTTCCGTGGTTGGGTATAGAAATTGTTGACCATTGCTCCGATGGAAGTTAGATCTTGGAAGTACCTCTCAAGTAGGTTTGGTTGGAAGGTTAAGACCTACGGTAAGAATTTTATTCTTTTCCTTCTATTTTTGTTCATTTTTTCATTAGAATGTATTCAACCCTTCTTTTTATCAGGGTTTCCTATTCGTGGTGTAAGCGTTGAGTCGATTGCAGCTTCTAGACTTTCTTTGGCAAGAGCTCAGGAGATAATCTTGAGTTCTTCATTGAAAAGGAAAGCTGACAAATCCCAAGATTCTGAAGACGAAGAGGAGCGGGATGGAAGTTCTTTGATTAGAAAGTCGCGGGCTGGAAGACGCGTCATTTCGGATGACGAAGTTACTCCCCCTCCTCGTTCTGTTCCCGTAATCGAGTCTGTTGAAGGTACTTTAGTAAGTTCTGACGAAGATACTCCCATGGCAGCTCGTGACTCTACTGAGCACCTCCTCTCGCGTGGGTTTGATAATGAAGGCTTTGATTTAGTGTCTGAGGAAGTACCTCTTGCCTCCTTCCCCATATCTGTCCTAATGGAACGCCTGTTTCCTGTTCTTCCTGCTGTTGTTTCTACTCCGCCTCAAGCCATTATGACTTCATCTACTGTCCCTGCTACTAATATTTCTCGAACTAAAATTGGTTCTTCAAGTGGAAGCAGGGTAATGAAGCAAATTACCATTGAAGTTTCTGCCGATGGTAATCTTCTGAAGAAGTCAGGCCAGGCTGACGTATGGTTAAAACCCTTGATTGGTCCGGTTGAAAAGTCCAAGCTAGAAAGTCATAAGATCTTTGACTTGGATGAAAGACATCGTGCAATCATCACTGAAGGTATAGACTTCTTTTCATATTCTATACCATTTTCCTTCTGCTAAGATTCTTATCCTTTTTTTATGTAGATCAATCTCATCGGTATGGAGATGATGAAAAGGGTTCCCCATACAAAGCAATTGACGCATGCTTACCAGATTGAGGCAGATAATTGGAAAGAGCAGTATGAAAGCCTTCAACTTGAGATGGAAGTTTTAGAAGAAAACAAATGTACCTTAGAACAGCAGCTAAGAGTCATGGCA